GTTGATGTTATGGCAGGTGATATGTATTTTGTTGATGTTATGGCAGGTGATATGTACTTTGTTGATGTTATGGCAGGTGATATGTATTTTGTTGATGTTATGGCAGGTGATATGTACTTTGTTGATGTTATGGCAGGTGATATGTACTTTGTTGATGTTATGACAGGTGATATGTACTTTGTAGATGTTATGGCAGGTGATATGTACTTTGTTGATGTTATGGCAGGTGATATGTATTTTGTTGATGTTATGACAGGTGATATGTATTTGTTGATGTTATGACAAATGATATGTACTTTTTAGATATTATGACAGGTGATATGTACTTTGTGGATGTTATGGCAGGTGATATGTATTTTGTTGATGTTATGGCAGGTGATATGTACTTTGTTGATGTTATGGCAGGTGATATGTATTTTGTTGATGTTATGACAGGTGATATGTACTTTGTAGATGTTATGGCAGGTGTTATGTACTTTTTAGATATTATGACAGGTGATATGTACTTTGTGGATGTTATGGCAGGTGATATGTACTTTGTTGATGTTATGACAGGTGATATGTACTTTGTTGATGTTACGACAGGTGATATGTACTTTGTAGATGTTATGGCAGGGGATATGTACTTTGTAGATGTTATGACTGGTGATATGTACTTTGTTGATGTTATGACAGGTGATATGTACTTTGTAGATGTTATGACAGGTGATATGTACTTTGTTGATGTTATGACAGATGATATGTACTTTGTAGATGTTACGACAGGTGATATGTACTTTGTTGATGTTACGACAGGTGATATGTACTTTGTAGATGTTATGACAGGTAATATGTACTTTGTAGATTTATGGCAGGGGATATGTACTTTGTTGATGTTATGACAGCTGATATGTATTTTGTAGATGGTATGACAGGTGATATGTACTTTGTAAGTGTCATGGCAGGTGATATGTACCTTGTAGATGTTATGACAGGTGATATGTACTTTGTAGGTATCATGGCAGGTGATATGTACTTTGTAGATGTTATGGCAGGTGATATGTACTTTGTAGATGTTATGACTGGTGATATGTACTTTGTTGATGTTATGACAGGGTGATATGTACTTTGTAGATGTTATGACAGGTGATATGTACTTTGTAGATGTTATGGCAGGTGATATGTACTTTGTTGATGTTATGGCAGGTGTTATGTACTTTGTTGATGTTATGGCAGGTGATATGTACTTTGTACATGGTATGACAGGTGATATGTACTTTGTAGATGTTATGACAGGTGACATGTACTTTGTAGATGTTATGACAGGTGATATGTACTTTGTAGATGTTATGGTAGGTGATATGTACTTTGTAGATGTTATGGCAGGTGATATGTACTTTGTAGATGTTATGGCAGGTGTTATGTACTTTGTTGATGTTATGGCAGGTGTTATGTACTTTGTTGATGTTATGGCAGGTGATATGTACTTTGTTGATGTTATGGCAGGTGATATGTACTTTGTAGATGTTATGGCAGGTGATATGTACTTTGTTGATGTTATGGCAAGTAATATGTACTTTGTGGATGTTATGGCAGGTGATATGTACTTTGTTGATGTTATGGCAGGTGATATGTATTTTAAAGATGTCATGGCAGGTGATATGTACTTTGTTGATGTTATGGCAGGTGATATGTATTTGTTGATGTTACGACAGGTGATAT